TTCCATTGGTACCTCCTGCCATGGACGGCACCCGCCTCCGGCCCTTTCCCCCAAGCGAGACCTGTTAAACCACCACTCCCCCCACCGTCCTAAATTCAGGGGGACCGGTAGGACAGGTTCACGAGGAGTACCGGTAGCACTGTGGGAAGAACTGGCCGAGTGGCAAAAGATGCGTCGAGTTGCCGCCGTGATTTCTTTCGCGGCCGAAACAAAATTTTGATCCTTTTTTATATTTTTGCTGAACAGATCGACGAGACCCTCCAACTTTCAGACCTTTTTTTTTTTTTTTTTTTTTTTTAAGAAATAGCATGCTTTATTATATATGGAGCAAAAGGAGGCCGGGAATCCCTACACATCTCAACCCGGAAGACTGGGGCCATTACCCAGATCGGGCTCTTACTGGAAACCGGGTCCAGTGTCCCTTTCTCTTCCTGCTATTCCTGAACAAAGACTAGACTGGATTAACAACAGATAAAATAGCAAAAACGAAAGAACCTGACTTCCATCTTTCCACCCATGCTCTTCTTAAGCCCTGAAACCGAGCGCTGTTGCTCATCTTTCCTATTACCTCTGACACGTCCTCCTCACTGTCCGCTCTCCGTAAACTCTAAACCCTACTATCCTCAGTGATGTGGAGACCAAGTCCCTATTTACATAAACCTAGCTTATCCTGTCTAACTGTCTCAGAAGTTGAACCCGTTCTTCTAATTGAAGTTGAGTGCGACCCTTACGAGCCTGACGCTCTAGTCTTGCTCCCGTTGTTCCTTATTCTCAAACCAATGGAAGGCTAATCTGTACCCTTCAATTGTTGCTATCTTTCCTTTTACCAACGTTATCTGCTGAAAAGTTTTTAATTTCTCCCGGGCTTTCACCGGGTTTTTTTGAGCTTGCCTTCTTGCTCTTTGCCATTGGGCCGTGATATCCGTCTCCAGAAGGTTGTGCAGAACTTGTTTGGCCTCCAGTCTGTGCATTTGTTCCCTTCCTATCGTCAGTTGACATCTACGCTTCCATATGGTCCACAATGCATATTGTCTCCGTAATTGAAACCACCTTCTCTGTCCCGGTTGCCATGCCCTTGGAGGCTCCATGCCGGTGAGGAGGACTCGTCTGAGATCTTTCCCCACAGTTCCCTGGCTGCTTCCCACACGTATACCGCCTCTGGGCATTGTAGCAGACAGTGAAGCAAAGATTCAATCCCTTCATCCGTGCAAAGGTGGCACTTCTGGTTGACCTGGTCCCTCTGGCGGTGGTTGCGGCGCTCATACAGCCAGGCATTGACTGGGAGCGCCACGTGGAAAATCAGCCACTCCAAGCTTTTGACCCTGCCTAACCTTATGTTGTTCAACGCTGACCACAACAGTCGAGCGACCTGCGTCCTGGGCACTTCCAACCTCCTTTCCCATCGAATAGCCAGTGGTTCTGCCAGTGGGTGATGTCTTCCATTGCTGTTTCTCGTCTGACCATAGATGTCTGACCTGCCAGACTCCATGTTCCACCCACGTTCCCCATTTCGAGTCTCGTGCTGTTAGGATACACGGCTTCCCTTGCTGATCCTTGATACAGGGATTGCAGAATAGTGGTTGACGGAGCACCTCCTCTTTGTTGCTTGGTTCCCTTACCCTTGCGGGGAAGATGTCTCCCCAAAGCTTGAGGAGCTATGCTCAGTAGGAGCTACCCCTCCCCTCAGTTACCCAGGATATCTCCTCTCCTCCATCCCTACGTTTTCGCGCCCAACCTTTACTCGTTACCCAATACAGACCTGACATGTTGGCGGGTGTTTTGTATTTAGCCAGTTTTCTAGTGTGTTCTGAACCCAGAGGCGCCCATGGAAGCTGAGGATGGGTAATGAGCTTCGAAACCCACTTCGTTTGCAGCACCTTAATCTGCTGCTCCAGGTCCAATATTCCCAGTCCCCCCTGCTCCTTCTGCATGATAACGTGCTCCCAAGCGACCTTGGATATGACATTCTACTTGTTCGGGTTTGATGTCCATAAGAAGGCTGCTGATCTTCTTTAAACTCCCTAATGGATTGCTCCGGTGGTGTCCAAATCGTGCCTACGTACCACAACATCGAAAAAATAGAAGCGTCTAAAATTGGAGGTCTACCAGACAGAGAGGTGTAAATTGCTGCACAAGCACTTAGCTTAGTAAGAATTTTTGCTAGAATCTTTGAAGCCATTGAGTGGTGAGGGCCCGTTTCTGCTAGTCTGATTTCCAAGTAACGTAGTGGTTCCTCTACTGTTACCCACTGCATTCCCTCCGGGGTGTCTGTGTCCTTCTCCTTCACCGTAGTGCAGCCACCATCCTATTGTATTAGGCCAGTTTATTCTCATTTCCAACGCCAGCTGGAAGGCCGCCATTGCTGTAGTGAGAGCCTCGGAACGCCAGCTGGAAGGCTGCCATTGCTGTAGTGAGAGCCTCGAATGATGAGCTTGAGGCGCGAATCAGCACCGTCAAAATGTCGGCAAAAAGGAGCGTCGTCGACAATTGGATCAGTCTTCCCTGCTGGTCAGGTTCTGCTATCAAACGTTGGATGGAGGGATCCTTTTTGAAAAATGATGCTACTGCCTCCATTATGAACAGAAAGATGGGTGCTGCTAAGGGGCCTTCTCGTCGGACCGATCTCGACATCCTGTAATTCTAAGACAGGTGTCCATTCACTTGAACCTGCCCGTGTGCATCGTTGTATAGCACTCACATCCATTTCCTGAAATTAGGTCCGACCCCCATCCTTTCCATGCACTGCTGGAGGAAACCCCAGTTTACTTGGTCATACGCCTTCTCGAAGTCAAAGAACAGTACTGCGACATTGATTCTCCTATCCTTAATATAGTGTACTGATTCTGACAAGGTCATGACGTTGTCCAGGATAAACCGACCTGGGATGAAACCGGTCTGATCCAAATGGAAACAGCCCCTAGTTACCCTCCTGTTAGCCAAGGCCTTCGCTAGTATCTTGTGTGTGAGTGCCAGCAAGGTAATGGGCCTGTAATTCCTTATGTCTTTAGGGTCCCCCTTTTTGTACACCAAAGTGACGATCCCCGTGGCCGGATCCTGGCCCAACCCCTCTGCTTGCCAGGCCCTCTCTAGGTATGCCATATATTCGCTCCCTAGGATTGGCCAAAATTCAAGCCAAAATTCCCTCGTCAGGCCATCTATTCTTGGAGTCTTGTTGGGTGACATTGACTTTAGTACATCCCACAGCTCCTCCTGAGTGAGTGGGGCTTCTAGCATCTCCGCCTGTGCGCTAGGCACGGTCTGCTCTAGGTGTGCTAAGAACTTTGATCTGACTCGTTGTACCTGCTGTTGCGAGTGCTCCGACTCTCTTGAAGTGTATAAGGTGCTATCGAATTGCTGTGCCACAACGACCATCTCCTTCGTTGTTGACACTCGTCCTTCAGGTGTTTGAAGCCGTTCTATTGTTGAGCTCCGTCCATTGGCCCGAATATTCTGAAAGAAATATTTCGTCATTTTTCCTCCCTCCCCTCGCTCCTTAACTCTTGCCCTCATTTGCAACCCCCTGGTTCTCCAGCGTTCCCACGCTCCCAATTCTTCCCTTGCTGCCTGCCACGCCTAGGTTCTTAGCGAGGTTATGATCTGCTATACGCAATGCCTGTTGGAGCTCTGATTCCCGGGCCTTCCTTTTGCTCGCTAGCTGTCTAGCTGCTGTTGCCGATGCTCGGCTCATAGCGTTTAGGAGCTTTGGGAAGGACTGATTGCCCGGGGCGTAGTTGAGGCAAGGTTGCAAAATGGCCTGCCTCATTTCCGAGGTTAGGAGAATCGAATTGTTCACCTTATAGAACCCTTTTCCTCTCATGACTTGCTTATCTGTGGTTAAATTTAGAAAAATGGGTTTGTGGTCTAAATCCACTGAAGTAAGGAGAGTCGCCTATTACCCACTTAGTGGATCATACCTGTGACCGCTTGAGAGATCAAAAAGTAGTCTATTCTCGATGCAGACACGTGGTGACTCCTATTCCTCTTGTAGTAGGTAAACTGCCTGTCGTCTAGAAAATATCGTTTGTACGGATCAATCAAGTCGAGATTAGTCATCATATTATGGATTGGGAGTGCCTCCTCTCCTAGTGCGTGCTCTCCCACCCACCGTGTTCCCTTGACATTCTATCCCGAGCCGGTTCCAGTCCGGCATTCCAATCCCCTGCTATTGTGACATGCCTAGTGGGTTCTATTATGGCCTGCAACTCCTCCAATAGTTGTGCTCTTGGTTGGAATGTATTGGGCCCACATATGGAGAAGAGAGAGAACTGCTCTTCCTGAAATAGAAAATTCAGCGTAACCCATCTTCCCTCTCTGTTGTCTACCCATACCTCTTCTATCTTTAAATTCTTCACCGAGGAGGCCCGCTTGTTTTGAAGAATTGCCACTCCCGCCAAATATGATCGTGGAGCTGGTGCCCTGAAGTCTGCTGATACCCATCTTAATCTTTGTAAGATCCTATTCTTGACCTATTTATGCTCTTTTGAGGTGGTCAGATGAGTTTCTTGTAAGCATACGAAGTCTGGAGGATCCTGGCCAAACCATCCTATGTATTGAACAAAGTTATTCCTCTTATTCGGGTTATCCAAAATCTGCGCCAACCCGTTTATATTCCAGGAGACCACTCTGATGTCTGGATCCTTCCTTAGCTGTGTCTGCGCCGTTCTTCTACGCTTCTCCGGTCGCCTTCCTTCGTTGTTCTGCATTGGGGAGTGCCATTCACCTGCGCCCATGCTTGCTCTTAAGGAGTGTTCAAGAGCGTGTCTCTATCAGATCCAACCTTGTTGCGCCCCGTGTGATCCTCTTCTCAATGTACTCCAGCTTCCACGAAAAGGCGCCGGCTTTAACTACGATCGCCGCGCTTCTGGCCACCCATTCAGCCGCCACCGATCCCCCTAACAGCCCATAGGGGATGGTCTCCACCACCAGCCATGGCATCCATATGAGTCCCTCGCTCAACTTCGCCGTTTCTTGCAACTTGAACATAATTGGCCTGTAGTCCGTTGCTTGTATTGTGCCCTCTTCCAGTTGCCTATCACGTACGCATGGGCTGGCAAGTCCTCTAAGATGATTCCCTACGGGGGCTGATCGGAGCAGTCGGCCTCTACCGAAACTAGCGCTAGCGAATGAGGAATTGCAACCTCCCAATCCTTGTGGTCCTCATTCCACCTGAACGGGAGGATGACCCTGCATCTGGGTGAGTTTTTGGCATATAGCTTCGCCGCCACTTGAATTTCCTTGTGTGGCGCATAAGCTATCTTCTCTAAATTCATAGTGTTTGCCCCCAACTTCCAAATCTGGTCTTTGAGGACATTATATTGAGCCTCCAATATCACTGCTTGTCTACTTGCGTCCTCCATTAACTCTTCGTCTCCCATTTCCTCCCCTATTGTTGCTTGGCTTTGTCCTTGCCTGTCCGTCTGCCGCACTTCTTGTTGCGCCTTCCGCTTGCGCTCAGACCGCTTCATTGCGTTTGGTTGGTAGGTCTTTGCCCACTCAAACTGCTTAATGTAGCCCCCATTTTGCACCTGGATGTCATTGTTACGATTTTGTGCCTTCCACCCGTACTGCGTAGCATAAAACTCGTTTATTTCTTTCTCCTTTTTCAATATCTCGTAGCGGTTAGTGGTGGTGATGCCCTCTGATGTTGTCGTGGCCTCCTTCAAGTTTCGCAGATGCTTGTGGTGTGCCAGGCGAACCTCGCACTCTACCTGACGCTCCCATTCTAGCACATGCACACACTTGACCCATCTTTCTTGCGTCTGTGGTTCTTCCTCCTCCTCATCATCTACATCTTCCCATCCGTCCTCATATGAATTCCCATCCGAGTCACCCACCTCGCCTTCCCCCCTCTCTCTCCCTTGTTTAGGTTCAGTGGCAGAACTGGCTGGCCCCACTTCGGGGGACTCCTCTTTGCCTGTGTCCCCGTCTTCTTGGCCCCTTGCTTCTCCCATTTCTTGCTCGTGTGATGGGGTCTTCCCGCTGTCCGCTTGCTGTGAAACCTCCATTGGCTCCACGGAGGGGCTGAGAGCCCCTGACCTCCCCCGTTCAGACTCCATCTCTTGGTCTTGATCCCCCCGCGTCTGCCGGGTTTCGCTTATGGCCTTGGTTCCTTTTGATTGCGCACATTTGCTACCCTGCTCTCCTTGCTCGCTCTGTTCCGTCTCCCTCGATTCCTCTGCCCTGGCTTTCCGTTTGAGCGAAGTGGCCGTACTGCCCGACTTAGTTGACCCTACCTCTCCTTCCGTATAGATCATGCCGTCAGCCCCGTTCTCTTGGTCGTGGTTCTGCGCTTCCTTTTGTGCTTCCTCTCTTGCTCTTGAGTTCTCCAGATATGTGGCTTCTGCCATCCTGCCAACCTGGTTGAGCTCTTCCATTGTTTTCAATATTTGCTTATCATCCAACAACGTGGTTTCATCAATCATGGGCTTCGTTAGGTAGCCCATATCCTTATCCTCCATCTTCAGGTTTTAGTGTCGGCATCCCTTGCAAGACCCACACCCACCTGGGGGACTCCAAGTTGTCCTCGAAATCCATCCCCGGTACTGTGCTGCGTTAGTGTACCATATCCCCGGCTTGTTGTCCGACTCCTCTAGCATCGACTGATGCAATTGTATTGGTTTACTCCCTGCCCCCGACTAAGGACAGTGCATGCCCAGATGGCCCCTTCCACGACACTTCAAACAGTAAGGATTAGTCTTCGTCGAGACAAATATCACGATCCTCTACCCGTTTTTGCAAAAGATCCAAACCTCTAGAAACTTGGGCGGAGCTTCGGAGCTCCGGAGCTCACCTCCAAGCACCCTTGAATCGTGATTGGGAGCCAGAAAGTAGGGATTCGCTGACAGCCAATCAATGATGGGGTTGTTCGGGGATTCCTCCGACAACATCTTCTGGACAAAACTATGCATGCCTTCCGAGAGATTGTCGAATTGGACCCAGAAATGCTCTTTCATCATTGTCTGCCTGTGTTGAGAAGCTTCCACTTGCGGGGGTCTTGGGGGCTTCCATGCTTGAATTGTGACGATCATTCCCTGACACTTCAGTGACCCCAAGGACAAGAGGTATTGAGCATATGAGGGGTGTACACAGACGATCATAACGGCGAACTTCCCCCTTTCGTGATATGATACCTCCGGCTCCACTCCTGGAATGCTCTCAAGCCCTCTCAAATGTTACATCACCCAACGCCTCTTCTCATTCAATGGCAAATCCCTGCTTTTACTTGCAAAATTAAACAGCACTGCGTGGCGTTCGTAGAGTTTGTGCAACGAAGGAATATCCTGCTCTGGATACTCCCACACGTCCACTTCTTTCTCCTTACCATCATGTCCTTTGTGGGTTTCCTTCGTAATCCTGATTGGCGCAGTTATTTTTGTTTTCTCCATCAAAAGTCGATCGCCCGCTGACCTAGCGCCCTGGGTTGACCCGAGGCCCCCCCCGAAGTTGAGGTGCCTTGGGAGGAGTTCTTCTCCCGTGCTTCCCGTGCTGCTTGATCCGCCTTCCTCTTGTCATCCTCGGTCATTCCCTTCTGAGCTGCTTGTACGTATGAGTGTGCCATGGATCCCTGTGCCATAGCTCCCTTCCCCGATCTTCCCTCTGCCCTTTTCTTTTTTGCTCTCTTTTTCCTCTGCTGTACTGATCTCTACCTTTACTCCTTCCCTTTCAGTTCGTGTGTGATAGGGTTTCTGGCTTTTTTTAATCCCCTTTTTTCAATCCCCCACGCTACTACGAACCCCCCCCCGGCTCCCTCACCTCTACCTATTGAGTGTCCTTTGTCCCTTTTTCAAGCCCCCTATCTACTTCGATTCTATTCCGTCTCCCTCGCCCCTACCTGTTGACGGCTCTTTATGCTGCTTCCCTTCCACCGTGAACCATATCCTTCCTTCACCCACTCGCCTCCCTCCTTGCACTTACCTCGTCCTTTCTACTCCTCTCCCTCGTCTCCCCGTCCCCCGAAGTTATGCATGTGTCCGCTACCTGCCTCGGCTCGCGCTGGCTCGGCTCGCTTTGACCCCCAGGCGTCAACGCTGGAGTTGACGACGAGACGTTGGCACACGGTGGCGCGCTAACCTGGCGGCGCGTCGCGGTCCTCCACTTCTCTAGGCACGAATACCTTCTGTCTCAATTTTCAGATTTTTTCATCCATTCTTCTGAGTGTGAAAAATTGCCAAAGTCGGCGCTTGAAAATTGCGGGACTGGACTCGCCGGTGCCTACCAGTGCCCCCCCCCCCCCCTAAATACCCAGTCCGTATGGCCAGGAAAGCCGAATTTAAGCTCTTGGGGGAAGTGGTGGTTTAAACCACCAGTACCATCCGGGCCTTGTTTGTAAGAGGCAGATTCCCGCTGTGTGCCAAACTTTGCCGAAACACCAGCGCATCGTTTTTGCTTTTGTTTTGGCTGGCATTGTCAGCTGTTTTGGTCTGGTTGCCCCGTGCCTCCATTTTTTCCGCAAAGGCTCAAATGCAATTCTCAACTTGGCTGGGACCATGTACTGCTGGTTTAATGCCACCATGTACGGCTAAAGATATGGTCGGCTGACTATAATAAGCCTAGATTCTATGGAATTGGAATGTGGGAAATTGATTGATTGGTTAATTGCTGGGGCACGCTTGCCAGTCTTGTGTTTCGTTTCCACATTAGCTCCTTTTCACATCGATTATGTGAGGGACAATTGGACATTATGCGAAATCTCAGAGCACACTCACACAAAGACGTCCCTGCATGTATCTGACACTTCTGGATCCATCTGACTGCAATGACGTCCAGAGAGGAGTCAGAAAAGTCTCACTGTGAGTATGCCCTTAGCTGGTGGGTGAACAGTACAGGACTGAGCAACCAGGAATGTGCTGCTTCTCATTTTGAGGACTTCTGATTTTCTTTTTTTTTCATATCGGCTTCTTTTTCACTAATGTTGTGTGGTATGCACTCATGCAAATACTCTTACTTGACGGTTTCTGTGCTTCATCAGGCAGGTACTATAGGTTGGTGCCTGGTGTGAGATCATGAATTCCGTTTTCCACTTTGTGACCTGCAAGGCAAAAAGGCACAAAATGAAGGATAGGGCAAGGTAAGACACACGCACAAGGCGCCCTTTCCTGAGCTTGCTTTCTTGTTGTGGACATTTCTGTTTTTGGCAGAGTAAATCGAATTGTGACAAGTGGCGGACAAGTTGCGCGCATGAGGGTGCCAGGAGGGTATGAGGTGAGCTCTTCCACACCTGCGATTTTCTCACTCCTCACTTTTATCTACCCTTTAGGTTACTAATCCACACAACTGCTGGAAAACTTAACGGAATGTTGCTGGGAATCATGCCTGTTTCATGACTATACTCATGTATATGTGCTTCTGCCCGTTCCTCTCTCTGGTGTCTGGTGTGCTGGCTTGTCCTTCTGTCTGGTTGTCATCGTGCATCTTCTTGAGCTGCAGATTGGCCCTCTAAGGTCATGGCCTGGAGGACTCTGCATATCCCGGTCGTTGGGGGACAGTGATGCTGGGAAGTGCATCCTCCCGGTTCCGCATGTCAAGCAGATTAAGGTCAGTCTCTGCGCAAATGACCCTCGGATGTATTTTCTTTTTTTGCAATAAAAGGGGGAATTTAAACTCAGCACATATGGTTGGTCGACACAGTAAGGTGTGTACCATTTACCACCATGTCATCTCTCTCTCTCTCTCTCTCTCTCTCTCTCTCTCTCTCTCTCTCTCTCTCTCTCTCTCTCTCT